CCTGGGCTGCATCACCGCAAGCCTCACCTGGTCAGCTCTGAGCTGCCAGGCAAGGCCCCCACACACGGTCGCCGATCCGCGTGCGTTGTCCTTTGTTGGCCAGATGGCCATTGGAATCCCCCAAGTCCAAATTCATCATATCATGTCAAAACCATTGCCCCTGCAGCACCCCCGCCCACCACGACCGTGCATAGTACTTGCGCTCCCTCGCTGCAGCCTCCTAAGGATACAGCGCCCAGCTTCTCTCTACAGACGGGCCGCCACCGGCACTACACAAACGCCTTTAGTTACACGTGCTACACTCCTCCTGAAAGGGGGTCGGCGGCACCCGGGCGAAGCCCTTACATTCCGGGCGCCGGCCACGCGCCCGTGTCCTTGCCGGAGGCCTTCGGTGGTAACCGAAGGTTATATACGCTCGCCGCCCCTGCCGCCGACCCTTTTGTTGGACCGCGGGGATACCCCCGGTCGACCCCCGCCCGAATCCGGTCGACAGATTTTTAAGTCATTTATATTTTATCTACCAGCATGATTGCGCATGATGTGGAAAACATCGTTTTTTACAGTGCTTCGTGGCCTTCGGCGGAGACGACTTGCGCCTAACAGGGCGCCGGTGGTGTCGGTTATGCGTGCCGCGCGGACAGGCTTAATCGACATTTCGTGGGTGTTGGGCACATAAGTTGCCTAACATATCCCTAACATAGGCCCAAGATAGCCAACATATCCCCTCAACATAGGGCCAACATAGGCCAACATGGGGCCAACATACGCCAACATAGGCCCAACCTAGGCCAACATAGGCCTAACATAGGCCAACCTAGGCCCAACATAGGCTCAACTTGGGCCCAAGATGTGCCCAACATAGACCACATGGGCGCAACTTGGCCCAACCTAGGGCCAAGATGCGCACCAGATAGCTTAACTTTGCTCAATATAGGCCCCACCAAGTCTCAAAGAGAGAGAGAGAGAGACAGAGAGAGAGAGAGAGAGACAGAGAGAGAGAGAGAGAGACACAGAGAGAGAGAGAGAGACAGAGAGAGAGAGAGAGACAGAGAGAGAGAGAGAGACAGAGAGAGAGAGAGAGGGAGAGAGACAGAGAGACAGAGAGAGAGCGGGGAACCAGCCCTGCACATACCCAAACCCAAATAGGCCGGCGCCCGGCTGTCAGGCGTAAGCCTCATAAATATATATATATGTGTATTTAGATGTATGTTTTTACTAAATCCTGAGGATCTTTTCCAAAGCTTCCTTGAAAGCTTTCTGCCGGGGGCGAGTCCCAAGTATATAAGCTGAGCTAGTAGACGAGCTGTCCCAGCAAGAAGGCTATGCTGAACTATATGCTGGTATGCAGAAGGGCTCAGGATTTGCACTATTAGTTTCCTGATTTGCGGGAACTTTGACCACTAGACACTAGACTAGACCTGTATGGCATCCCTCTTTCCTTTCTTTGTGTTATAACTACTTACAGTTCTTGGTATGATTGTCTTTTTCTATTGTGCCGCACCTGGAGCACCCCTCCATCCCGACGTCTGGAAGAACTGCTTGCGCTTGGGGATGCCTGACTGAATGGAAAAAAAAGAAGCCTTTCTCAAGGTATGACTTTACGCGGGGTGAATCCCGCAGAAGGTATTGGCGTGGGTTTCAACACACCCAAGAAGGTATGACTGAGAACGAAGGAATGCATATCAGCATCAGCATGTATGTTTGTTTCTCTTCCCAATCCAAAGCAAGACTGAATCCCAGTCAATGGATGTGTACATAGTCATACATAGTCCAAATAGCAGCTAGCACTGCCCCATGGCAACATCATCTGGCTCCAAAGTGGTGAAAACCCTTGTAGCTCATAGAGCGTGGTGAATGAACAACATACAGGAAAATGCAGTAACTTGTGGAAGCGCACGTGGCCAGCATGCCAAAACCAGCAGCAAGCTGACCAGCTGACCAATAAATGTCACCGCCACCAAATTCTACTTTCCACCACAATCCACTCTTCCTCAAGAACACCAAGCATGTGGTTCTCCACCCAAGGAAACGCAGGCATCTGGCTCAGAAAAATTGTGGATAATTGTAATATATAGCCGGTTTCTCTGTGTAGAAAACTACGAGCTAACGTACAGCCCTGGAGGAGCTTGAAATGTTTAAGCACTGTTCCAACGCAAGATCCAGAACCGTCCTGTCAGGATGTTGTGAATTGCGAGGAACTATTGGGGCGTCAACCAAGAAACTGATAAACTATCCATGCCATTGATCCTGTCCCTAGAAAGGCTCACAAGCTCAAATTGACAAATTGATGCAGTTGCCATATTCTCATTTATGAGACCAGTTTATAAAACGTAAGTTGAGCCATTTGTCTGAACCTTCTGAACCAAATTACAAAAACATTGGTCATACCACCA